CTTGTCAGTTAATGCAAGTAGAACTTCTGTTCACACCCACAACCACATCTTGTTTTCTAAACTATTCCAGGTTAAACAACAATGGTAATCTGGTCACAGTCCTGGTGTAATCCTTTTTCGAATCCTGCTGGGATCTTGAAATTCCGTGGCTACACACTTCTTTCAGGATTTCGTCGTTTCCTCAGGAAAAAAGAGTGAATTCTGGAAAGATGCTGACTGAATCCATAATGAACCTGGTACGGAAACATCAAAGATTTTCCATAGGGAAACTTTGCAATTGCTCTTTCTGGAATGGTTTTTTTCATGTTGAGAAGCCAGAAAGAAGGGCCGTGACCGTGATCAACCCCTCGTGACCGTGACCAAAAAAGTTGGTCACGCCGGGCACTAATCATCACTGGTAGTGCATAATGTGGTCAATTAGCAATTCTCGTCACACTCGTTTTCGTCAGAATATATACACTACTATATGTTCTCTCTCGTATTCTCTAGTGAATTCTTGACTCTTTATAACTTTCTAGTAAATTTCTTTTGTTTCCAATCTCTCGTATATATATCCGCTGCTCGCAAGAATAAGTACATTGTAAATACGCGATAAGATAAAAGTTCTCTCTGACTAACAACTGGTTACTGGTCGACTACATTCACAACAACTTCATTTCATCTACATACTGAAAATATAACCTCTGCCCATAGAAACAAAATCAGATCAGAAATAATTAGTTTTGTAGGAGAAGAATACATAATTTTAACGCATATATTTTATGCAGTTGATTAGTTACCAAGCAACTCTCGAACATGTAAAGGTGAATATGTTCACATTGTTCACACTTTTACACTTCTTTAGAATAGAAAAGATATACGTTAACAAAGAAAGTACCATGTAGAAAGTATCGATGACCTAAGTGCAGCAAAAAATGTATCGCGTGGTAATGAGGCAGTTAATACAGCAAGAAAAACATCTAATAAATATAATGACAGAAAGGAAAAAAAAGTTACCAACCAAGTATCGAATGATGTCAAGAATAGTATCAATAGCTGGTTAAAAACTCGGATTTTAGTTTTTTTTTAATGTTGTCATCCAGATATAATAGCAAAATAGAATGCAGAAAAGTAATAATACTGAGACACTTGATTATTAATACTATTCAGCCAACGAAGTATAGACTAGTAAAATTATTCTCTGAATTTTTTTTTGTGTGGTTACATGATGTTAAGACATTCATATCAACATCTAACCAAGATTCAACTCAATGTTATATATTCATTCAAGTTCTCTATCGATCTATCATAAAAATCTAGTTTCTAAGACAATCTATGAATTCAAAATAAATTTTAAGTTATTCGGCATGTATCAGCTCATGTTTTTTTATTATATAAATGATGCATGAAGTTGTACACAAAAAAGCAAATTAAATAAAAACCTTGATTATTTTTTGCTTGTACAAGAAAAAAGGTTACAGCCATCTTTACTTCTTCTGAAATACTTTTCCTCTCAATATTGAAATATGATTTTAGTTGAATCTGTTTTTGAAAAAAAAACAACGTGCGAGCTTACTAGAACTAGAGATGAAATGATGGTGAAGCACAATTCAAATCTGTAGGTATACGTTTGCAGACATGATCGCTCAGACTAATGAGATCGTAAATATCTGAGAAACCTTCGGTAAGTTTTTTTTTGCATGATTTAGACTGATTTATGCTATGAGAATTGATGGTATTAACAAAAAAAAATGAATTCCATCGTTAATTTGTTATTGCATGTCTTAATTGGTATTATCGATAGCCTTCACCGTAGCATAAAACATACCCTATGTACATTTTTGTTTTATTTTTAGACGAAATATAAAAAATATTGTGGAAAAAATCTTTGCATTTCATCATACAAAAATAGAGGAAGGAACTGAATAATGACATCAGAGTCGTTATTTATATTTTTGTGATGCCTAGAAGAATGCTTTCAGTGATGTCAACATTTTAATGATGTCATGCGTGCGAAGCACATGACCTTTTCTTTTCATATTTTTTTCTATTATATTTGTCGTTGCTTCGTGTTGTTTTTTTCTTTTCTAATCGTTCGCTGCTTATGTGGTAAATTCCAAGGTAATGAAAAATGAGTCAAGCAAATAAATATTAATATTCCTGCAGCTTATCGCAAGAGAATGGTATTAAATTTCGTATAAAAAATGAATGGAAACTTCCTATGGGAAAAAAACTATGTACGGTGGGTTTATGACAATGATGTGTCAATATATATAGATATAGATATAGATATATACATGGTTTTTACCATTGATGACGAAACAAGTACAACATATTGGCAGTTTCACGCTATAGATAAGATGAAATTTACCTTCATACGGTTAGATTCTATATAAGAATTACAAATTCTACTTGTCCTTCTTTAAAACTAGCTTCGTTATTTCGATCGTAATATTGACATAAATAGACAACAGAATAGTAAGTTGAAGCAGTTTCGTTTCGAATGTTCTTCTTTATCATTAACATTCGTTTCTATGTTTACGTTCTTTTTTTTCTGTTCTGTTATTTGTTCTTTCCTTGTTGTCTTGAATCAATATTTTTCTCGGGTATCGACCATCTTCATTATGCTAATGTTTTCTTTCTTCACTTCCCAGATATTTCTATATTTACTCAGGTTTTATAATTGATTTGTCAATACCAATATATCTAACAACTAGATTCATTTCTCACTATTGATTCTTTCGTGCACAAATCATACACTATGAAATAATCTCAATAAAAATATAATCTCTTCATTCTAATATCGTTCTTACCACTGATACAAACTAAGTTTTATGAGAGCTTTTCTACTCTCCCTTTGATGGAATCAAAAACTCATGGATTGATGTAAATACTTTTCGAATTTCTATAGTTCTAGGATCAATTGATTTATCATATTATATTTAAATTCGTCATATCTGCATCGGTACAAAAAAAAATCTGTGGGAAAAGTCGATTATGGCATTATCAATGGCTATAGAACAATATGCACCAAATACGATACAAGCAAGACAGAAAACTCATTACAAACCAAATCAAATGCTAAACACTAATGGTATACATCGTAAAGTAGTTGATATATGTCAAAAATTAATCGAAAAACAGAAAGTAAATTCTGCTGTTACTATGAAAAATGCTGGATTCCACTACACTGACAATAAAAATGTAATCCTTTGTGATACGTGTGGACTACAAGTGTCCGATTGGACATCAGATATGCAATTATTTACTATTCATGCCCAACTTAGTTCAGCATGTTCATTTGTTCGCTCTCGTCTACTTATTGAACAAGCTAGTGTAGTTTCCTCAACCAATTTTATTCAATCGGTCGCCACATTAAATGATAGGGAAGAATTATCCAAATGTCGAAAAATAGAAATACCTAAAGAGAATTGTCGATCAAGTGTATTTGCAGAAGTAGATACGTTGAAGCAAGTACGTAAACGAACATTTTCCCATTGGCCACATCGAACATCACCTTCAAGTGAACAAATGATTGAAGCTGGATTCTTCAATTGTAATGTTGGTGATCGTGTCATTTGTTTATATTGTAATATTATATGTCAACAATGGGTTCCATACATAGATGATCCATGTGAAATACACAAAATACTTTCTCCGACATGTCCATATGTCGTTGCAAAGTTAACATGTTCCAAAGCATCATCGATTCCTATTATTAATGAAGATTTGTCGAAAGATAATTCTATTCGATATGAGCAAATTGTTAGTATGACTGCATCCAATACTTCCTATAGAGAAACACCAAAACGCTATGCATCATTTAGCACATGGCCGAATGAAAATTTACCATCTGTTGATGATCTAGTCAAGGCAGGCTTTTTTTATACTGGCACTAAAACCATTGTGACATGTTTTTATTGCAATGGATCATTGCAGAATTGGGGAGCAAATGACGATCCAATGATTGAACATGCTCGATGGTTTCCACATTGTACATATGCTAAACAATTATGTGGAGACAAATTATATAGAAATATTCAAGAATCAAAGCGACGTCAAAAAGGTATGAATAATCTAGAATAAAAATTGAATAATATTTGATATTGTTTCGTTTTAGAACGTGAAGAGAAAAATACATTAAGTAATCGATGTGAAACAAGTATGAGTAATTCATCCAGTGAATCATTGAGTAAACAAAACGAGAACATTTTATCTCGATTGGTAGCGGCTCGACTTGACTTGCCAATTTCACAACGTTTACTAGCACAAAATTTTAAACTATCAATTATCAAACGCTGCTGGGAAGATCAGCTCCGAATAAAAGGTAAGATTCAAAATAAGCTATTCCACTATTAGCAAATATTTAAAAAAAAAACTTATCAATATCTTTTTAGATGATGATTTTGTCAGTGATTCTGATTTAATAACTGCTTGTACAATTCTTCAAAAACAAATCCAATATATTGGTGGAAAGAAAGAGAATATTGTTATTCCAAATGAAGCGATAAAGAAGCTTCGTGAAAAACAACAAACAGGTATTTGATATACAGTACGATACAAAAGTCTTTGCCTTCCCCCTCTCCCCCTCCAGTATTATAATTACTTTTCAGGATAGATACCATGAATATGGAAACTAATCATATTCACAAATAAGGGATAGTACAAGATATAAAAGCACTATAAATAATACGTAGTTCTCTTTCTCTACGAATTAATCAATGTTAACCATCACCTAGCCAAACGCGAAAGATTAAAAAACGTTTGTAACTACATGAAAAATGTGCGTTTACATGGCATGCATGTGAATGTGTTATACGATAAACTATCTTTACAATTACATGCAATCAAAAACTTGCGAAAAAATTCTAGAATGACCAAAACATGACGAAATTCTTCGTCATTCGACTGTCTACCTACATTAGAAGTGCAATCAAAACTAAAGGGATATCATAATGGACCAATAACTATAAAGTACACATGTACATGAATGGTAATAATTATGAAGAATTTTAAAAAAGTAAATAAGATTTTTGAGCTAGTATCGTTTAAAAAAACATTTTCATCGGACGATGCTATGAGATGCCGGCACGGCAGATGTCATATCTTCCTGGCAGAAATGCTTGGAGATGCGGCAATTGTACGAAATGCCCTGTGTTTTAACATAACTCTCAAGGCATTATGAGGAAGGAAATATGGGCACACATACACACACGAGCACATCTAACGAGTGTGGATGAGGAGGAAAACACGAACACACACGGCTATGTCTCATGACTTTGGGTGATTTCTCAATGGAATTGACGGCGGAAGTGTTTAGAGGCCAGTCAATGGTTCCAAATACTTCCTTAAGTAAAAATTATTTCATTGCTCGAGTTCTGTATTTGAAACTTTTGTCTTTTTCCCATCCTGAAGATATAGGTAGAATTACCTTTTGGAGTTGCAAATGAGATGAATCTGCAATGCTTTGAATGTAATAATAATCGTCGATATCCTTCTGAGTGAATACCCATCCAATTAGAGTCATGGCACTTAGATCGCCCTAAACCATGATTTTCTTTTTGTTCTTCGGAATTCGCTTGATGCCGCTTCTTGAATTCTTTAGCTATCGGCGAATCATCTTTTTGAATAATTCGTGGGAGGTTCTGATAATGAACATTATTCAGCTCCAAGTTTCGCCTTTGTATTGAATTAACCTCTTAACTCTCGCATTCTTTTGCCTCCACATGCTAATATTGACATCGCATAGAGCTAAGTATTTCGCCAATCAATCCGTTCGAGTTGGTGCTGTATTTTCCACAGGGATATGTATCAACCTTGGTCATCACATGATTTTGTGTCAATATTTTCGTCGTTGTCTTGTTCCATCATTGAATTAACTCATCGATGGTCTTATACTAAACGACAGTAATATTGCGAGGTTGACTATAAACGACACCTGTCCTACACTGTCCCATATTTGATTGTCCAAAGGATGATCTCTGCCAGGCGAACAAGTGTGATAGGAGATTAATTACTACTCTTCCACTACTCTAAAATACTTTATCTTATTTTGCTTTCAACGAATTAAGGTTTCGTTGTCCAAGTGCTTTCACTCAAAGCACGAATGTTTACAACAATTTGTAGTTTGAATAGCTACATATAGACTCCCTTTTATCTTCTACAGAGTTCTCCAAAAATTCGTCCCAAAGTTTCCAAAAAACATACTTATTCGAGTACAAGAACTTTTGCACCTTATTGTGTATGATTGAAAAGTGACTTTAATTTTCTAGAAGTTTATTCTCATGAACAACCTGCACCTGAACGAATACTGGTAAATACATCGAACAATACTGATGTTGAAATGTCGACATCATCAGAATCTATCACATGCGAGACAACGACAGAAAAATCATTAATAAGTATGAATAAGAAAATGGATACGGAATTAAATAGTGCAGATATTTCTGCACAAAAAAGAGGCAATGATTCATCACCATTGCATCCTTGTGCTTTATGTTTGACAGAAGAAAAATGTCTTGGTTGTATACCATGTGGTCATGTAGCTACATGTGTTCCTTGCGGTCATTCTCTTCAATTATGTCCTATATGTCGTTCAGACATTAAGGCTTTTGTCCGCTTATATCTTTGATATTGTCGTTAACAGACTGCTTTTTTTGTTTTGTCCAACGAAATCTTTTCTTTTAAACTGTCTCACTTTTAATAAATAATAACGCACTATCAGGTGAGATTCGTATTATATCTAGTCAGATTGAAGACTAGGTATAGAAAAGCTTTCGAAATCTTTTTCAAAATAAAAATGAAGAACACAAGTATGTCTCTAATCAGACAGATTTAGATCTTTCTTTTTTGTTCAAAATTCAAAAAACGAATGTTTGTTTTATTTGTCTTAAAACATTGAAAACGTTCTTAATAAAACGGTTAATCAGTAAATTTGCAGAAAAATTTATGACATTGCCAACACTTTGTTGCTTCCAAATGATTCCATCAGATTATATTGCCATCAGACCTAGTATATTACGTGATTTTTTTCTGTTAATGTTGTACCGTGATGTATAATTATAACTAATTCAATTCGATCGGACCGAATAGATTGAAACTGTTGACTCGGCTGGCTCTTGCCAGTTTTTAACGGTCTTAAAAAAGGTATCTAAGTATGCCGATTTCTTCTAATAAAACTTCTTGAGAACAAGTTTAAATACTCGTATCAACATGAAAAGCAATATTGCTTCAAAATATCATTTTTTACATGAACCAGGTTTTTTCACTTAATGTATTGACGTTTTGTCAACAACCAGACTTCAAATTCTTTGCATCAGAGAAATATCACTTGTGGACCTTTCGAAGAGTGCATAGATTGAAACAATTAGAATATTGTATTTCTCTTTAAAGAGTCAGTGATTTTCGAGGCTGTTACTTTCAACCGGTAGAAAAAAAATGAATAAACCGGTCGGGAAAATTTCTTTGAACCAGCAGGACCGTACCAATTACAACCATGTCGTGATGACAAATTGTTAAAAGTTTTTATTTATATTTATTATTATCTTATGAAAGAAATCTACAATGGTTCTTGATGCATCATCATATTTAATTAAAGTGTAAAATGAAAATGATAGCAAAATTTTATACACACGGTTGGAAATAATATTATTCCACAGGAATACTGCTATAATTTCAAATAGACTCAATAATGAATTTTATACCAAATGAAATCTCATCGAAAATAAAGTTTAATGGTACTAAATAATATGGGCTATGAAAATTTTCATATGTTGAACTGTTAAAATTTATAATATAGTTTACCGACATGAAATATGAGAAAAACTATGCATGAGATAAATTTCGAAATTAAATCGACTACAAAATAGTTTATTTTTTCATCGTTTAATGAATGCAGTCAATAATCAGTATGACGACTGTGTCATGGCCGATGGCTATGATACATATTCTAGGTAGGCTTCTAAACACTCTTCGTTGCATTCTCTGCTTTTTTTCTTCCTATTTTCTTGTTCTTTTCTTCCTATCTTTTTCCGCCTCTCTTCACATGAGTCACTTCCTGAGTAGGAGAGCATGATTGGCATGCGATACATGAGAAGAGGTTTCTTTGGAAGAGGAGAACATACATATTTTATTGTTTCCTTTTTTTGGCGTGATTCTTATGCATTTTTTTCAAATATATACGGATGATGATTTGTCTTGAAGCAGAAGGATGTATGTCATATAACAGACCGTTGGCGTTCTGTACTGCACGAAGACGAGATGGATGCGAACATAAAAGAGCTTCAAATAACTCAGTATACGTTTCCGTGCTGGTCAAAACATTTGAGATCTGTATTTCCAGCGTGTCTTCAAGATACTGATTATGTCGAATGTAAGTCTCATCGCCGGAACAAACATTATCGAATAGGGATGGTCATTTAGTGTTACTTTAAAAAATAATGATAGATGAATCCTTTAACCTTTATTATAAAGAAAAGTAGAGATAAAGGGTCACCTCTATTATCAAAAAAAAGGATCGTCGAAATAGAGATCCTCAATATAAACATTCAAATTTCTCATAAATAAGCTTTTCGGTAAACTCTTATTCGACAATCTTTATTTCGATGATGTGAGTTTCGGTGAAGAGCATACATATCATTATGTCCTCTCGCTGTTGTTCTAGCATTGAGATTCATTGGTTGTTTTGTTCGATTCGTAGGGATACAGAGTAAGAGAGTCATCACAGAAAATAAAAACATTTCTTAACTAATCGCTATCACGAGAGACAGACAACAAAACACAATAGGACAATTTTATACTCTGAATCAGAGTTACGTCTTATGATCCCTAGAACAATGCTTTTTTCTATTTTTCCAAAGAAAATTCCTTTTCTTCTTTGACTTACAACTCACCAAAAGTAGATTATAGGAATTTTATTCCACAAAATTTTATAAATTTTGAGAACTTAATATACGAAAGTTTTCATAACCCATATTATTTAGTACCATTAAACTCCATTTTCGACGAGATTTCATTTGGCATAAAATTCATTATTGACTCTATTTGAAATTATAGCGGTACTCTCCTGGAATAATATTATTTCCAACCGCATAGTTACTTGAATTCTAGAATTCTAGGTTTTTCAGGGGTATATATGTTGTTGGGCCATTACATAGACAAATTCCGAAGCTCAAAGTAAATGAGAGGACGTCTCGAATTATATATGGTGGGTCCATTACAAGTTGTATCCGTACTTACGCATCTCGGTGTCTCTCTTTCAATTTTTTTTCCTCTTCTCATTCTAAAGAACCGACTAAAGTTATCTCCTTGACTTTTCTTAAACCACTTAATTCTTGGCACAATCGTTAAGTATGAATTTGAATATAGTTTAACAATTAATATTTGAAAACACTGCAATATGGCAACATAGAGAATATCTGTAGACACCATTCAAATTGAATGTTTCTTTGTTACTAGACTTTAGTTATCTTCAACGCAAGTCATCGGAATGACGTTTTCATTAACTAATTCTGACATTCTCGAGCCTTTGATTAGCGAATTTTTAATGGATACAACATAATATTCATCAGATATACTAGTACAGTCAACAAGAAAGCCTGATTTGAAAAAATATCTATCAATAACAAGACGTGATATATGCCAAAAAGCGTTAGACACATGTCAACAATTGATCAAAAAACATGGAATTCACTCTACTATTACTATGTCATCGGCTAGATTTCATTATACGGGCAACGATGACACAGTCCGATGTGACACTTATGCACTAGAAGTATCTGGATGGACGCTGGAAATGAAACCATTCGTTATTCATGCAAAACATAGTCCAGCATGTACGTTTATTTGTTTCATGTTACCAACTGAAAGAACCAACGAATTGTCAGCAATGAGTTTTACTCCAGCATTCTCAACATCAAATGATGGGGAAGAATCATCCAAAAGTCAGAATGCAGAAATAATTCATGATAAAGATCTGTTAAACAGGTTTGATGAAGTAGAAACGCTGAAACAAATACGAAAACGAACTTATTCAGATTGGCCACATCGAACATCACCTTCAAGTGAACAAATGATCGAAGCTGGATTCTTCAATTGTAATGTTGGTGATCGTGCCATTTGCTTATATTGTAATCTTATTTGTCAACAATGGACACCACATACAGATGATCCATATCAAATACACAAAATAATTTCTCCTAAATGTCCATATATTATTACAAAGTTAAGGTGTGATCGATTAGCTTCTTCAAATGATCGATATTTATCTCAAAGAAATTTTGAATTAGATGCGACTGCTCATCATAAAGAATATGTTGCACTTAAGATTCGTTATGTTTCTTTTGCAACATGGCCCAACAAAAATTTACCAGCTGTCGATGATCTAGTTAGAGCAGGCTTCGTTTATACGGGTAGTAAAACAGTTGTGACATGTTTTTATTGCAATGGATCATTACAAAATTGGCGAGCAAACGATAATTCAACAATTGAACATGTTCGATGGTTTCCACATTGCGCTTATGCAAGACAATTATGCGGTGTTGAGCTGTATCGAAAGATTAAAGAATCGAAACAGCGTCGAGAAGGTATAGAGAGGTTATTTTTCTATCAATAAAAAAATAACTAATAGAATTTCACTTTAGAACATGAGAACTATCAGAAGTTCATCGTTCTTCTTGAAGTAAACGATGTTGACGTAAATAATGAATCCGTAGCAATATCTGACAATGATTTATTGGCACGTATTGTTGATGCCTACCTCGATTTACCAATATCACAAAATTTACTTGGTCGAAATTTTAAATTGTCAATCATCCGACATTGTTGGAAAGATCAACTATTATCTAAATGTAGAATATAAAAACTCGTTTTATTTAAAGAAAAACTATGTCATTTTTATTTTTCTTATAGATAACGATTTTGCTAGTGACAGTGATTTATTAATGGCTTGCATAACTCTTCAAAAACAAGCTGAATATATCAATAGAAAGGGAGAAAACATCATTGTTCCAAGTGAGCGCATGAAAATGCTTCGAAAAAAACAATAAGCTGGTATTGAATATAGGTATTTATTTCGTGTTTGTAATTTAAATTTCTCTTGTAGGTCCTGTTCCAAAAGATCAAACTGATAGTGGGTCACCATTGGATGATTGTGCCTAATATTCGACGGTCAAGAAGTGTCTTGCATGTATCCATTGTGATCTTCATCTCCAATCATATTCAACTTATTTTCGAAAAATCAATATTTTTATCCATATTTACATTTAAAAATAGAGCTAGACGGTTTAACTTAGTTCATGAATTTAATTGGAATTGTTGTTTTTTTTTTGAAATCGATGAATAGAGTTGTGTCGAATAGAAAAAAATTCTCAAAGTTTATGAATTGAAAAAAGCCTTTCAATCTTACTGAATTAAATCAAATTGATGAACTTCTTTGAGTTGAACTGCTCAATTCTGGGCATAATTATTTCATTGCATACATTTTACTATATATTAGTATATGTTTAAAATAATTATTGATTTGAGAATTTTTCTTCGGGAACTTAGATAACGGTTGGTACGAAAGTCCTACAGTAATTTTGTTTTCAGTGTAGCATGGCAACTTGATAATTTTCTTGTTAGAACGAGTACACTCTTTACTGGAAAGTAACGTAAAAATATTTATGGAAGACTGAAAAGTTCTTTGAATGCTTCTCGAATTTAGAACAAAACCTTCATTCACTAAGAAACTTGGTCTTATTTTCTATCTTCTATTGAGTTTTGTAGCACATACGGTAGAATTTTGTAAACAAGTAACAATGAAATTTTCAAATTATTACTCGAGTTGGAAATCGGCATTTGTTAGCGAAAAGTCTTAACAACTAATAAAAGTAAAATAATTTAAAACAATCGAAGTTAGTGACACCACATATCTGATGTCCAATTAGAGCTTAGTGAGTCCTCTAAAACAGCACATTATATAAAACATTAGACATTGGACATTATGAGAGAAATTTCATTGAGTGTTGTAGGGAGAAAATCGAAGTTTTAGTGGAACTTCTTTATTATTTTGTAATTCGAATATTTTAACACCACTAGAAAGTCTGTGTCGCATATGTTAAACTCTCACATAATGTGTCTAAAAATTTTGAACGTCGGAGTGCAAGACAAATGTACAGTGTGCAAAGCTAATATAGAATTTATAATATTATGAAATTTTCTGCTCATCAATAAATGCTAAAAGAGAAAAGACTTATGAAAATAGACAGTGAAGAAAAAGTTGTTAGTGCTATTCCAACGAGATTAAAAGGTTATATACAATAGAGTTACTTTAACCATTGTGGAAAACTTTATCATCTATATGATAGACCGTGGCAGACCTATCGACACCTCGGTTACAGTCCGTCAGTAGATTAAAAGAACATCTGCATGTTAGGAGCAAGCTGTAGGAGATGCATTCAATTTTCTCGTCATATACGTCAACATTCATTAACAATCATGATCCACAAAATGACTAAAATAGTAAAAATGAGAACTTTATGTAATTTCGGTAGTAACTCGAAGATAAATATGACTAATCATGAGGTTAGTTTGACCGTTATAATATAAGAAAAGTGAAAAATGACTCATGTTGGCCTACGAGCCGGTCTAGTCTGGTCTGATAAGTGCCTGTACCAGTAAAGAAAAATCCTAGTGGTTGCAATTCTGCTGTATTGGAAAAAATCCAACAATATCAACTTACTAAAAAAAAAAATATATGAGTTCAATGTTTCTCAGAAATCATTGGATGCGTCATTACATTATATTAGTACTAATCATATTCGTATTCTTTGCTTTAAAGGTGACTCACATTAGTCAGTCATTTACAATGTCTTTTTTTCACGTAGACTGTCTTCAAAATATAATCATCCTTTCGTCATTATACAGAAAAGAAAAGAAATACTAAAATTGGCTTCCTTCGTGACTCAGCTACTTTAAAAAAGTGCACATTGTATAGAAATCTAACAGATATAAAAGCTATAGCAGATTGAATTATGCACATAAACTTACAGATGGCTTATAAAATCCTTTCAAAGTTTTTTTTCAGTCTCTAGTATGCTAGTGGATTTTAGAACAAAGTAAGTTCTTGAATGCAAATACACTTTATTTAATATACAATTATTTTCATTTTGGCAGACATTTGGAATGATTAAAATTTGTAAAACACTTTAGAATACATATGTGACAGGTTCATATCAATGAACTGAGCTGATACTTGATTATTCAGCTTCATTTAAATGAATGGAATCTGATATGTATTACCTTTTTATTTGATATGATATCGTTGAAAATCTCATTTTATTCTATCCATTAAATTTGTAACTTCTCTAGTTCTGTTCATGTAACTGAACTACACAAATATACTCGAATGAATCCATCAGAAACACAATGCTAGGATAACATTAGATTTTCAAATAGCTCGCTTCATGCTATCTTCCTCTTTATTTAGACTTTCAATAGGATTAATCGATATGGAAAAATTCTTCTCTTTCGAACTGCACAAAGCTGACATTCCTGACTTGTTCCATTTGAAAGTTATAGGGCTATTTCAGTCGATAGACCTATGATCAGCTAAGCACGGATAATTCACCATGTTAAGTCGAATAGTAATATTTGATTTTAAGGTCGAACTGATCTGACACTGTTATCTCAATATTTTGCGAAATGTTGACTTCGTTATATAGAGATAGATTGCAGAATTCTGGAAATATTGAAATAACAGAGTCAGATCATTTTGGACCTAAAAAAAAGAACATCACTATTCGACTCAGCATGGTGAATTACTCGTGTCTAGCTACTTTTTTTCGGCTGAAATCGTAGGTCTTAGAGAAAGTCTTATAAGTCTCAGATGGAACAAGTTAAGAATGTTGACATTGTGTAGATCGAAAGAGAAATAGCGTCAGAATATTGTTGTTAGAAAATCTTCATCAAGAACTCACCTGATTGATCAAGTGTTGATGACTTCGGGTCTTCTCTCCGGAATAGTGAAATACGCTAGTCTCTATGATGTTCCTGTCGAAAGTTACTCAAAAAACAATATAGCACATTATATTTTGAAATGGATAATAGATATAGTGCAATCACTATCATATTGCTGAGTTTTTCTTCATTCGACCATGAGAATATTAATGTCTGCGCCAGAATTAAAGAGAGATGTATGTAATCTCGATAGTTTGAGAACGGCAATAGCTAACAGCCTACCATTGTTAGCAATCGAAAGAGATGAACTTCGAATATATTTTTGTTTGATACTTTATAAGATAAAATTATTTTAAAAATCATCAAGATCGTATCTTGAATTCTACATTTGAAACTCTTCTGTCAGAAACATATGTCAAAATCATATCAGAATGGAACACTGTTTTCATGCATTTTTTTGAACATTTTTCGAAAATGATAGGTTTTTAAATAGTTTTGTATTATATAGTCGACGTCAAGAGTTCTTCTTGTTCGATTACTGAAAACTACAGATCGCTATCTGTTACCATTGACGAGTTATTGACGTTACACTCCTTAAAATTGATGTAGACATTAGGTGAGAGCAGTAAATTTTACACAATGAAATATTATATCGATTGGTTGATAAATTTTATTAATTCGCTATCTTTAATTGAATGCAAAAACAATCATCACTCATCTAAATTTGTCTATTTACAATAGAAAACCAAATCTCGTGCTAATCAATTATACAATCGAATATAGATTCAGAACAATAAATATAATTTGCCCAGTTATTATTATTATTATTATTTTTTACTAGATTTGTTTTATATTGATACAAGAAAGCGAAAGATGCACGAAAAATATCCATATTACTAATCTTTCTTTTAGATACTGTTTTCTCCTATTTCTTCAAATTTTACAATGGATGGTTCTATTGACATCTTAATGTTTATATTTGTTGTCATGCAAAATGCATATACTTGTGATATATTGAACGATTTTGATCTAACTTGATCGATCATTATTGATGAAATTCAACAAATCATTGAAATTTATGGTGATGTCGACAATTACCCAGAACAAGCCAATGATGTATCAACATTCTTGAATGAACGTATAGATTACATTGATAGTGCTATTATCAATTCGTGATATTTTGTTTTTATTTATGAAATAGAGTTTTCAATAGGCATTTCTTTAATTACTAACATCATTGCAGCCAGGCAATATATATATAAGGTTGAAATTAATGCGAGACGATTATGCAAATTTCTTAGACTGTTAATATGATCATAAAGAAGACATCGCTATTAACTATTAAATTATGAAACTGATTTAAATCAAAATCATCATGTAGAAAATCAGTAACACGTTTATATATCATTGACAATTGCATGAAGTTCAATATTCCAATAGAAACTTTGATCTTTCATGTTCTCCTACTTATTTGCATAAGAAACAAGCATTTCTTTGAAATGATCAATGTCTCTTATATCAATAAACATGTCCGAAATATTACATCGTATTTCCAAAACGCTTGTTTTGCTCGTTTATGACAGTGTGATAGTCAAAACGACTGTATTTAGAGTGAATTTTTGCAGAATTTCATCCTTTAGACCGAATATTTCCATTTTCTCACTAACAATAGAACAATTTTATACAATAAATAGAGACTGTTAAAGTCCATCTTCGAGTGATACTAACTGAAGCTAAACACTTGACTTCATGTCTTCATATAAAAAACTACTATCCATTTCAAAATATAATGTGATTCAGCGTTTATTGTATAACTTTTGATAGGAACATTATATGAATCTTTGGCTTTTGCTATTCAAGAGAGAAAACTCGAAGCCATTGAACTATATCAAAATTTGATTTGTCAGGTGTGCTAGTGAAGTTTTTCAAAAACAATATTCTGAAGTTGTTTCCATTTCGTTTTAGACTTTTAATAAGACTAACTGATAGAAAAAAATTCTTCACTTTCGATCTACATAAGACTGACATCACTAGTTTTTTTCATTCGAGATTAATAAGGCTTTTCCCGCTACTTTCGATTACAGCTAGAGAAGCAGCTAGACAGGGATAATTCACCGTCCTGAGTCGAATAGAGATATTTGTTTTTAGGGTCGAACTGATCTAGCATTGTTATCTCAATATTTCCGGAATGTTGACTTCGTTATATAGAAGCATATTGTGGA